ATGATGGACATGTTCCCTCCCCGGACTCTGCTACAGTAGATTATTCGTGGAAGTCATTAGGGTAGGATTTCTTTTCTTTTTAGCAGCTAAAAGACCAAACCACTTGTGACCTTTCAGGAGCTGGGGATGGTGCAGTGGTGATAGCTTGAACTCTGCATGTGTGCTAACACACATGGGCAGTGGATGCACCTTTTTCCCCAGGAGCGCTTCCAAGCTGTGTGTATGTAACAGAATCTTTCTCAGGGGCTTGATACACTTCTGTGAGTAGCTTTAATTTATTTTTCTTATTAAAATGTTTCCAGCAGCTGTACTTACAGCGAATCGGTATGTTTTGCAAATGGGAATTACAAAAAATGTACCTCAGCATGGTACAATGTAGACATTATTTCTGCTCTTCCTTAGAGTAGCTGATTTTATAGTTTAAAGATTTGTTGATACTGGAAAGTCTATTGAGATGCAAAAATGTTCCTCTTTTTTTTTTTTTTTTTTTTTTTTTGGGTAGCACTTTGGCAGCCAGCAGACTCCAGGCCAGGCAGATTGTTTAATGCTTTGACAACGCAGATCTTGGACAGCAGGAACTTTTTGCTAAACTGATTTTAAATGAAGTATTCTGTTTTGGTATGTGCGGGTACTGCAGAACAAAGTTTTCTACAAAATTGGCAACTGCAGCCTGAGCCATCAGATCTATACAGAGGTCTAGTTAACCCACCTAAAGGTATTGGTGAATACTGCTGCCTTACATTGTATTTTAGCTGATGCACATGTGGCATACAGATCACTGTGCCCCACAGTGCTGCATAGACCTGAAGGCAACAGGCCTGTGTATTAATCATAATTCATCCAATGGGGTATTGGTGTCAGAGAGTGACAGATCATAAAGTTATTGCAAAGGTATTGGTGATTTTCATCAGTCAAGCATACTGCAGGCTGAATGTTAAATATCTAACTGAAGTTACATTAACCTTTGCTATAAGCTTTTTATATGGGGCAAAGGATAAAATCAGCTTTTCTATTAAACTGAGATTATTTTGCACCATAATGATCAGGCTGTTTACAGGGTACAGGAAATCATGGCATTTCAAGAAAGTTTCCATTGTACTTTCTTTTGTCTGTGATATTTACACTTCTGATATTTCACATAGTGTTCTATCTAGAGCTGGTTATATGGCTTTAAATATGAGACAGGAAATCAAAAAAAGTTATTTCCCCTCTCCCTGCTTTGCATTCTCCTGTGTGGCCAATCAACAAAACTAATCGTAAAATAAGCAACAGGTATGTGTGTAGTAAATTTACATTTGATTTACATTTGCATAATTGTTTTAATATCAGAGTAGTAAATACCAGACAAAAATCTCTAGTGGTAAAACATTATTCCGCCTATTATAAAGTACTGCCTCCTGTCATCCAGAGAGTTAGATGCCAGATAGCTACAGAGCAGTGGAAAGGCTGAATTGGCCTTTGTGATTTCCAAAAGATTCAATTCTTGGTGAGAAGAATAATATAACTTTGAGGTAAAACCTGTCTCTCTCATGTTGGTAGAAGTATTGCAGCTGCCTTTAGCAGGAGCACAAGCAGCAGCACTGGAAGGTTCAAACATGCAGAGTGGGATCTGCGTTTAAATTTGGTGATTTTTCGGTGGTCACCACAGGGTAATGGATGGAAGTTTTTGTGCTCTTTGGCGTCCTGGCCCACTTCTAACTGCCTTTTGATATCAAGATCTTAATGGTATATCTTC